TTTTCAATACTAGTGGGCCACTAGCAGTGGCTCCCTAGTGTCACTTCTTCCTGTAGCAATATTCATCGGTACCTCACGAGTTGTCTTGCGTCGTTCTTTGCAATGCGCGTAAACATTCGAGGAGTGGGTCGTTTGTGGCTTCCGTACGTTCCCTCTCCGGACTCGCGCGTGGATTGGCGAAGAATGGAAAACTGGCGGAGCCGCGGATCGAACCCACGACCTCGCCCGAAAATTCCGGAAATTTCGACCACTTCTAGAAACATGCTTTCCGGCGCCCGGAAAATGCTTCCGGCGCCCAAAAATTCCTTTCGCCGCCCCAAAAATTCTTTCGACGCCCGATAGAAACTGAGACAGGAGAGAGTATTGCTCGGATGATACAGTCAGTTAAAAATCAATGCGAGAGGCTATCAGAGGTCAGAGACGCCGCGATTGTGCACGATCCGAAGATACTAGTAGCGGATAGTGCCGATGCGATTAGCAATGGATTTGCACAGGTAGTAATTACTGACTCCTCCTCAGGCAGCAGCAGTAGTCGTAGTATCAGTAGCATCAGTAGTCATAGTATTAGTAGCATCAGTAGTCATAATATTAGTAGCATCAGTAGTCATAGTATTAGTAGCATCAGTAGTCTTGGTAGTAGCATCAACTGCCATAGTATTAGTGGCAGCAGTAGTCATCGTTGTAGCATCAGTGGTCATAGTATTAGTAGCATCACTAGTCATGGTAGTAGCATCAGTAGCCATCGTTGTAGCATCAGTAGTCATGGCAATAGTAGCATCAGTAGTCATAGTATTAGTAGCATCAGTAGTCATAGTATTAGTAGCATCAGTAGTCATAGTATTAGTAGCATCAGTAGTCATGGTAGTAGCATCAACTGCCATAGTATTAGTGGCAGCAGTAGTCATCGTTGTAGCATCAGTGGTCATAGTATTAGTAGCATCACTAGTCATGGTAGTAGCATCAGTAGCCATCGTTGTAGCATCAGTAGTCATGGTAATAGTAGCATCAGTAGTCATAGTATTAGTAGCATCAGTAGTCATAGTCTAGTGGCATCAGTAGTCATGGTAGTAGCATCAGTAGTCATAGTATTAGTAGCATCAGTAGTCATAGTATTAGTAGCATCAGTAGTCATAGTATTAGTAGCATCAGTAGTCATAGTATTAGTAGCATCAGTAGTCATGGTAGTAGCATCAACTGCCATAGTATTAGTGGCAGCAGTAGTCATCGTTGTAGCATCAGTGGTCATAGTATTAGTAGCATCACTAGTCATAGTCTAGTGGCATCAGTAGTCATGGTAGTAGCATCAGTAGTCTTGGTAGTAGCATCAACTGCCATAGTATTAGTGGCAGCAGTAGTCATCGTTGTAGCATCAGTGGTCATAGTATTAGTAGCATCACTAGTCATAGTCTAGTGGCATCAGTAGTCATGGTAGTAGCATCAGTAGTCTTAGTATCAGTAGCATCAGTGGTCATAGCATTAGTAGCATCAGTGGTCATAGTCCTAGTAGCATCAGTAGTCATAGTAGTAGCATCAGAAGTCATGGTAGTCACTATGATGAACATGGAGTTTTACAGGTACTCCGAGGCTTCACGCACACGGGACTCGATGGTAGCTTCCGCTGGCCCGATGCCGCTGCCAATGCTCCGACAAAAATACGCCTATTTTGCTGGGTTCACATGGATCGGAAGGTCAAGGAGAACCTGCCGCAGTATATCTCAAAGGAGACGGAGAACTCTAAGGAAGCCGTAGAGGGGCGCCGTGCCGAATTCCGAGACGACATAAGAGCCCTACAGAGAGCACCGACCGACGACGTGTTCGCTCAAGGGGCCAGAATGTTTTTCCATAAGTGGCACCAGCTCTATCCTACCTTGGCCGAGTACTTCCGCAAGCAATGGTTATGCGGGAAAGCTTATTGGTACCGAGGATGTGCAGGATTATCCCCGAGTATACCTCGTCATAGCTGTGCGATAGAAGGAAAAAATTGTGGGATCAAGAGAGGTGTGTCAGAGGGAGGGAGGGTCACTCTCAACGAATATGACACCTGAAAGGAATATCAATCATCCTACCAAGTTTTTCAAATGTGAGCGACGATCATTTCCTCAAAAAACATTAAGAGTTCACGTTTATAGATGAAATCATTCGTTCTCAGCAACAGCGCAAGTATTATACAGTACTTGCGCACTACACTGGGAACATAAAACTAGTTGCATGAAGCATACCATCATTATCGTATCATCATGATATCCCAGATATCATACAGTATGATCATTAAATTGAGATGTTTCCTATATTTTCCCGCACGCACTACGCGAACCCGCGAATCCTATCAAATGAGCTTCACGTGCATACTGTTAATTCCTCGTAGGTGGTATCGCCAACATGGCAAGCTTCCCGGGGTTATTACGTGCGATGGAAGAATATTGCCAAGACGAAGCGGCGGCATACACTGGCGGATCTCCATCTATCAATTCACAGAGTGCAAAGAATTCCGCTTGAAAGAATTTTTTCTTTCGAGCCCGAACAACCCTGGCCTACTGCTTGAGCGAGCCAGCAATCTCGAAGCGAATCGATCTCATTAACGATCGCTGAATACCAAGTTTTACCTCAGAATCATGATTGACACTCACGACAAACTCTTTGTCCATAGCAGCAGATTATTGACATCTATGACGAATTTAGGGCGAGCGAAAAAAGCTCCCATGCGCAAATCGTCTGCCCAGGTTCAAACCCGAGTCTCGACTATTTTCCAGATTTTTTTCCAGTTGCAACGTCGTATGTCGGACAATTTAAGCATTTGATAACTCGAGTTGACAGGACTTGCATATCACTGCTGAAGTGAGCTGAAGGCTTGAGGCGATACCATCCGAATGCTATCACCACAACCTCCAAGGTACATTAGCATAGGAACATTCGTTCACAATGCTGAGCACCGCTTAGTATAGAATACGGCTCTAAAGATGCGGCTTAGGCTCGGCGGGCCGCCGGAGGCTCGCCTTCTCTCTTAATAAGAATAGCATTCCCTTATCGAGTGCCTCCATCGGGACCCCTGGCCGAAGCGAAGCGTTTCTAGGAACGATTCTGGGATTTTCTGTTCATAGAACCAGCTCTGGAAACGATCTCAGGAAGTGGGTCTTAGCGCTTAGTTCAAAGGAGCTTTTGCGCGATTTTTGCCAGACTGCAATCCAAGGCTGAACCGAAATGCAAGTGAGAGCGTGTGCTAAACTTCTTTAGAAAAGACGCCTATTCTTTGGAAATGAGGATTTCCCCAGTTGTCTCGCTTCTTAAACAGGACCCTTGATAAAGCCATCTGAATGTCCAGCACTGGCGACTCTACATCCGCGGCACTATCCTGTCTCCCCAAGGAAGTAACGGAAGTTGGGGGGATCTACGCTCAGCTCGAGTGCTGCAAGAACTCGGCTAAGGTAGTGAAGGAGACCAGCGAACCAGTAATAGTAGTAGCTGTTGTTGAATATTAAGGACGATGGAGTTGCGGCGCGTTATTACCAACTTGGCATAGACGAGGCTGGTCGAGGCCCTGTGTTCGGTCCTATGGTCTATGGTGCTGCTATCAGTGATGTAAGCCACCGACTATGTAGTGGGGGTAGGCTCATCACAGATAAGGAAAAGTGACGCACTAGGGAAGATGGGGTTCAACGATTCGAAACAGCTCACTGGTGGGGTAGTCCGTAGTGCTGGTCGGAATTGTCTATTATCAGAGGCGAAGCGAAGCGAATTATTTGAGGATATTCATAATGAGGCCCTCAAGGATGATGGGGTCCTTGGGTTCGCCGTACACGTGTTGACCGCGCATGAGATCAGCACTAAAATGCTGAGGAGGTAGTAGTAGTACTAGTAAGGTTAGTTGTGGTAGTGATGGTATTGGACATCAGGAATAAAGTGAACTTAAATAGAATCTCTCACGAGACAGCCATAGGCTTGATTGAGCACGCCCTGTCTGAGGGCATCAACGTTAAAGAGGTCTACGTTGATACTGTTGGTGACCCTGAGAGGTATCAGAATAAGCTCAGTAGTATATTCAAACGTCGAGGAGTTGACACTATTGTGGTAAGAGCTGATGATAAATGGTGGAGTTGCTCTGAGGCGTTTTAGGTGTGTAAAAAAGCAGATGCGATTTACCCTATATGTTCAGCAGCTTCCATCTGTGCTAAGGTTATTCGGGATAGGCTCGTTGAAGAGGACATATCTTACTACCCAGAGGTGAGCGTCAGGAACTACCCTAGTGATATCAAAAAACGTATTTCACGACTACTGTATATCATCGCGAATATCGAGTTTTTCACAGAGTATTAGGACGCCACTTCACGTAAAACGGGTTGTGAAACTCCAGGGTTTTCGAAGGGAGAACTCATTTTGAATTTTTCGTATGGCTAGGAACACATTCTTCAACCAGTTTTCCATGTGAATGTCATCACCACATTAGGAACATCACTTCTACCATTGGTATCAAACCCTGGGGGTTCCCACGCTTTTCTCAATCTTCGTTGGTCATTCATGGTTTATATTATCAGGGGGAAGGCGTGGCGACGCATTGTAAGAGTGTAAAGGTGGGCAGCGGCTACCCTGGGGACGCTCAGACGGTGGAGTGGTTGGAGAAGGTGAGGTATTCAATCTACGATGTGGTGATGGAGTGGTATCCGTCACAGGTGGTGGATCCTGTATTCTTATTCCCGCGGCAGATTAGATTTTCGTGGTCTACCATCGAAGAGATCGAAAAAAAGAGAGCACTTGAGTTCGATTGGCACGACGATGAGTATCTTGAGGGTAGCTTGCAAAGATTCAGAATAGGTCCGGAATTGTCCTCAGGCAACGATGAGAATAAGCCTGGTGATAATAACAGTAGTGGCAGGAGAGCATCTCAGCCAAGCCTCCAGTCCATGTTCAACGCGGCTAAGCGAGCTCGACGTAAAATTTTCACGAGTCGTGGGATGCTGATTGAGGACGATCGTGAGGAGCTTTGAGTAGGGGGCATCGAATTCAGAAGCATGTTTCTCAAAAGGGAATTTCCGCGTTGTGGAAGTATGTGCTAATAAGGAGATTGTCTACGTGGGCTCGCATTCATCCTCATGTGAGGTTGGCTATTTTCATCTAGAGGTAGAGACCGCTCATATGATTATCTACTACTACCGAGTGGAACTACTACTACTACAACATTTATTCGCCCTATACTTTCTAGTATCTGCTAACCCTCACCAATAGTAGTTGGGGTATTGTGCATCGGTAGCTCGTGACGAAGCTCTACTATATATGATAATAAGAAGCCTTTCTACCCGAGCTCCTCCTCTGCTGTCGTAAGCCTCTACAGCATACCCTTCCAGCCTCCCTATGTCCATCGCGAGTGCCGGCACGAATATGGTCTCTATGTTGATCCCCGGTGGTGGCCTTCTAGGGGCCGTTGGATCAGCTACCGGTCTTTTCGCGATTTGCGCAGTTTGTGGTATCTGGTAGGACTAAGTGAGCTCCCATATTTCATCTTTATTATTAACCTCAGCCTACGATGGTGCTTCGTGAAGTTAAAGCAGTGCTGGCGAGGTTTTGACATTCGAGCCGTTTGTGGTATGGACAAGCTCTTCCTGGCATGGGGCTTTGACAAGGTGACGACGACGACGACCAGCAATGTGAAAAAATGTTGAGGAAATTCTAAGAAGTTCTCAAAGGCTTACATATACTTCTACTCGAATTTGTATATTCTACTAGTGAGGAAAATCACAAACTCAGCTGTGGAAAGCGATCACATATATATTTTTTGAGACGCGTTTTTTAGTACCCGAGTTTTCCTATTACGGTCACTATTCACTCGGCAAAGGACTTCAGGAATACGTCACTCCTGGGGTCAGCTAATCTCTATGTTGTGGTGGAGGCGAAGTATGAGTGTTGCAAGAGCATGGGTGAGCGGATTGCTAACGCGTGTGGTGAAATATGAAATTTTTGAGAATTTTTGATGGCCTCTTGTGATGAGGGAAAAAACTCATAAGCTCCGCTGAAAAAAAACGATCACATTGATGATGACCTGTGGCAGTTAATAAGAACGCAAAATGGGAGGAGACAAGGCGGCTGATGATTCCTCAAGGGTGTTCTCATGTGAAGGCGTCGTTGATGGCTAAGAAGTCCGGCCCGCGCTCGGATACTCTCATCGGTTTAGTGCAATGGTCTGTCGAAAAGCATTTTTTTAAGCAAGCTGATAAGTTTTTGAACGCCAGAAAGGAGTAGGAAGGATTGGATATGCTCTTCCTCGTGAGTGACGGTTTAGTCACAAACTTCACGCTAAGGACGGCAGTGTGGCTGGACAACTGGCCCTCACTTTTCGGAAAGGTAATCATCGCAGTGGGGAAACTAGTGATGTGAAAAATATGTTTCACGACATTGTATAGGGCGGAGTATTACGCCACTTTAAGTGAAACGGGTGAAATTTTATGGGTTTCCTCGGTTGAGCTCACGAGTTTCATCACTACATTATGAAAATCCACATATGATTTGGTGAAAAAGTGTGCAAAAACCGACTATAATATTTTCCCAAAATTTCCGCAGAATTTCCATATTTTTACCATAAAATTTTCCGTAAAATTTTACGGTATGGGAGAGGCTTCGAATAATGAAAGCGTCTATAGTCTTAGACTGTAATTCTATTTTCGCAGTAAGAGGTTACTCAATCGGGCAGGAGACTATCATACCTTTGAATGCGCACACTTCACAACTGCTTGAAATCATCACCTTGTCGTAGTGGATAGTAACATGGATGAAGACTCGGACGCTGATGAGGACCCCGTAGTAGAAGGTCTAGACCCGGACATACACCCAGCATTGTGTAGGTCAACACACAAGGAGAAAGATAATCACAGCTCGATAATATCCCAGCCTCTTGCGTGTAATCGGACGCTAGGCTTGGGAGCTCGCCGTGTGTCAAGTTGATTTCACTCGATAGGAGTTGACTTTCGGTGGAGCCCAGCCGTGTGGTTCGAAATTTGAGGTGTGGTTTTTTCGAACACATTTGTCGAGTATATATTGTCTCGGACGCAACCCTCAGGATTTTCGTAAGTATAGTTGTTCATGGGCCTAGATGGATTTTTTCGCCGAGTTCAGACCACAGACATTTTCCGAATTGCACAGTGCGGGGGGAATATATGCACATGGTCAACTACATGTGTTGAGGGGAAATTTTGCGATATTATCGTTGATTTTTGGATACCCAAAATCGTTCTTCATAAAATAGTGAGGAAACCTACGAGCTAGGTTGAGGAAACCAAACATATTGCTGGAATCGCAGTAGCTCTCCTCAGATCGCAATTACATGTGTGTTTGTCTAGATGGCGAAGTGCTAGATGTGATGGGTGACAACGTACAGAGGAATGTCACTGGTAGTAGGAAAGTGAAGGTTCTCGCGTCGGTCTTACAAGGCCGACTCGAACGTCGGAAGGCCACAAGGCGTCTTGGGGGTAGTGGGAAAGGGAAGGAAGTATTCGCAGCAGTATGCGAGTTGCTCCCCCGGAGTAGTAGTGACTCTGAGCCCGATATAGATGAGCTTAAGAAGAAGGCCCAGGAGAAGGGCTGGGCCAGGGACTATGTCCCGTTGAAATGGTCACATCTCGCTCCTACTACTAATGTGTGGCCATGGATGGTTTCACAGGTTTTGGTGCCTCTGGGAAAGCCGACGAGAATTCGAAAAAGGTATGGTAAGTGTCCATGTTGGTGATATAGGATAACTCTGTAGATCCGGAAGATCCGGATGTGATGATTTCGGTATTGTCTATCACATCAGTCCACCGCGACACAGAGCAGTCCAACTACTTTTCCTTTAAATACAAGAACAGTGGTAGGTAATGCAAATCGATCACTCGGGCGCGCGCTATTTCACTTGTTGGTGGTTGTCAGAGGGAAAGAGTATTGAGGAGCGGTATAGGACAATTAGAAGGGATCGAGAGGTGTGGGTGGACGGATTGGAGCTCTTACGGTTGGAGTGTCGGTTGTTGAAGAAAGCGGAAAATGACAAGTTGGCGTATTGGAGGAGTAGGCCGGTGGCTGAACAGTAGGGCAGGGGAGGTGTACATGGTCAGCTACATGTGTTGAGAAAATTTTTATACTTTACACGAATTCGTATATAAAGTGTTATAATACCTGAGTTTAGGAAGCGATAACATATATTTCTCCGACACTGCATAGAGGGCATCTGATCAGGATGGACGTATGGAAAGATGAGCTTCGTAGAAGAGGATATGCTGATGAGGAAATCACTGAGTATTATAATCATGTATTGCTACAGTCTATGTCGAAAACAGAGCGGGAAAGGGCCATAGCCCAGGCCCAAAGGGTGGTCATCCCTGGGGTCAGTGTTCCTCACAGGGAGGGGCGACCACAGGGAAGTGAAGGGGATAGGGAACCGGCCGGTGTGGTAGAGGCGGAAAAGTAAGTAACAGTTTGTAATTCGGCATGCACTGTTATGATGGTGATGAGCAGGTCTCAGCCGAGAGTGGTCCAAGGGAAGCCGAAGTCCATCCCGAAGGCTCCAAGCCCTTCACCCCCCTCACCCAGTGGAGGGCCTAAGAAGGGGGGTAAGGGTCGCGGGGCATCGCCAGGGGCGTTGAAGAGGCCACTGTTGCCGCCACGTGGGAAGGTGGTGAGGCCACGACCACCTGGCAGTAGGCCGAGACGGGAGGCACCATAGGACTATACCATCCATGGAGATATGCTGTGCTGTGGTCTTATTGGTGTTGTGTTCGTTGGGGAGTGGTATGAGATAAGGCCCGACTCAGTTGATATGTCGTCATCTCCTCCTCCCGAGTCGTTATCGTCCGTATCCTCCACCTCGAGTGCTCCCCGAAGTGCTTTTTACCATCCCTTGCGCAATTCGCAAGGTCGTTTCTATCGGACTAAACGGCATGGACCAGGCAACGGTCTGCGAATGGTCTTCGACTCGGCTATAAAGAATAAACTTGAGGACGCTGGTATCCTCGCGGAATTGTTCGTTGCCCACACACTCCAAGAGATCTATGCTGAGGAGTTCTCCCTTGACTGGTGGAAGACCAGCGCAAGGACGGCCTGCTATCCGGACCATGGTCGCGATGGTGTGGACGATCGGCTCGGGTATGATTTCGAATTACTCGATACTAAAGGTGTCTTCTCTAAGGCGTCGGAGGATGGTCCTCGTTGGGTCCGACTTGAAGTGAAGGGAACATTGCGGTCTGAGGGCACCATCAAGTTCGAGATGTCCCGTAACGAGCTCGCTGTTGCCCAGAACCCCGATGCTGACTATGTTGTTGTTCTGGTTAAGAACGCGGCCGGGGATTGCCCAGTCATTCAAACTGTCCTCACTAACTTCTTCTCGAACATTGAAGAGAAGCGCGTTGCTTGCAAGCCGAGTCAATACTCTATCACTCTAGCTGACCCTGAGCTATACCACAGTGTTCCTAGCGAGATTGCTAAGAAAAGGCCTTCAGACACGGAGTCTAAAATGATGCTCAAAGCGGACGAGAAGAAACTGTGCGATCGAGCTAAACGTATGAAGCGGAAAGAGACTAGTGAAACCCAAGTTACTGAAACTGAGATGCGAGAGTATCAAAAACGTCGAATGAGATGACCTATTCGACATTTGTTCATTACTTGTTACTACTAGTCCCTGTCATCATTCCTTCATAATCCCCTGGTCTCGTGTTAAATAGTGACAAAGTGGGTTCCGTAATGTGCGCACTGAAAACTCAACACACTTCGGGTTTAGCATCACAGCGAGCTGATACAGCACGTGTTGAATAATCAAGATAACCTATAGCACAAACGAGAGTATGAACATAAGCTTCACGTAGCACTGTACAAGTTTGATGAACACATCTATAAACAAAGACTGTTTGTGTCAATGGGCATCTTACTGATGCAAGGCAAGAATGGTACGGGGGTCAACCTTTGCACCATAGAACTCACCGACAGTCCTCTTCGGGGCTTCAGCTGACGACAAGGACGTCAGAACGAACGAATCTGTATTACCAGCAGGAGTCTTCTCTAACCAACGACGAACGGGAAGATTGGCCAACTCCATAGACTCAACATCGGGACTCATAGATGCCATAGACCTCTAGATCCTCGGGAGGCACACCACCAGCATACCATCATGGTATGTTGGTGGTGAGCACCAGCATGGTATTACCATGGTTTAGGGAGGAGCATAGCCGCAGCAGCGGAACCGTCGGCCATCGGAGTTGAGGTATCGACGAAGATAACTCCATATAATTCGAGAGACGTAGTTCATATTTGACCATTCAGATTGATAGACATACACGGTGTATGTCTTATCAGCTGTATAGTCCATATGATGCGGCCATGATCGCTTACCCCTCGAGCTATTCCTACAGCAGCTCCACTCAGTCCCCAGATCCTATACGGGATTTAACCAACGAGACATCAAGCTTCTCGCTACATATACGCCGCTCGGCGAGGTCCTAAGCTAACAGCTGAACGCAGTATCTTGTCCCCATAAAATTCTCCCCTTGGAGACAAAATTTTCTGGCATCAAAAGAACCCTTGCTGGGCAAATGTGTTGGTTGATTCTATATTCTATGACTCTTACAACTGTGATGAGCTTATCAGATCAACTGTTTCTGCGAGACGTGTACTCTGAGGTTGGTCACGTCTTTGATGGATTATCACTTCCCTCTATGCAAGTTGCAATTTTAGTCCAATACTCAAGATAGTGGTAAAGAGGCAGTTTACTGGAAGAATGGTGGAGTCAACGGAAAACTAATGATCTCCGCGACCTTACCGTTCATACAACCGTGTTCAATCACAAGGGGGCTTTGGGGAGATGGCGAGAACGAGATTAGCTCATCGAGTTTGCGCAATTGCTCCTATCTGTTTGATGGCGAACATAGTAATGGACCAGCAGTAGTGAAAACATTGTTGTCACAACAACGAACACTATGATCGCTGGATACCCTTTACGCGCACTCCAGGGCCGTTGCCATCGATACAAGCGACGCTCGAGAAATCCTGTTCGAATG